TGAAGCCCTATGTTCCTCTAGGAACTAAAGGAAACAATAATGATAATAGACTATTGAGACAATGAGAACAAATCTGATGACTTATGAATCCTGAGTTCTGGCAATTTTCCTATTTATATCATCACTGAAACCATTAGTAGCCAACTTCACTCGTGATTATCTGTCCTAACATGCCATCTGATGATGGACCGTCACTGGTCGTCATTGTCTTATGATAGATCCTTTTGTGAAATGTTGGATATGTTCTGTTCCAAATCGGAACGTGATGTCTACTTTGTATGAACAGTCTGGTATATTTTACTGTGTGTATATTGATCGTTTTTCCATGATAACTCACAATATAGATTTTGTCTGTCCATTAACTAAATAAGCAATTTTCTATAGCTGGGTTGGTTTGTAAGGGTTAGTTCTGTTTTTACGAGTTGATCACGGATTGATATCAGCTAGAGAACTATTGAACCCCAGTGGGTGCGTACTGCCGATGATTCCCAAACTAGGATGAAACAGCCGGCTGTCCATTACTCCAATGCTGATTTTCAATGGTTCTCTAGCTGATATATCAATCCGTGATGAACTCGTATAAATAAACAATTTATGACCTTTGTCACATGACATTTCAACCAATCAGAATCCGGTTGTGGTAAGAAAAACTACTCATCCATCTTATTAGTTCATGTGTGTTAGTTATTTTCATATATACTGTTGTATTGTACAGTTAATTCACACTTTCGTATACTTGTCGTACTTTGGTACTTTTACCCTGACACTCTTGTGTGACAGCTAATTTTCCTTGTTGAAAAATACACGTATCCCTTCGCGAACATGTTGGTCTTCTGATTTTCCTCTTCGCGTCAGGACATATCAACTATTCAGCAATACCAGTCTGTACATTATCGGCCGTACGTCATATCTCATTAGCGCATATTTACACTCGGTCAAACCCTAATAATATTGGCAACGACACTATAACATATTGGTGACGAGTTCATAACAGTACTCCCTAGTTTTTTCATACTTGTATCATGGATATAAGCATAAAACTTGCTTTGATAAATCACACAGTGGTGTTATACAGTAATATTAACTGATGACTACGTTTCGAGCACAAATTATTACTGCTCATAATCTCATATCAAGTCACTTACTCACACAACGTTTTACTTCATTTATATACATTAGTGAAAATTCGGTTGGTTTTCGACATAGAACTTTGC